GAAATGGATCTGGCGAATTTTCAAGAAATACCGCCACAAAACACTTATGCCTGACGTAGATATCACAATCTGCAAGACGCTGTCTCCAGAAGTACCTACTCAAAGTGAAGTCGAAGTTGTTATTCCACTTGATGCTGAGCCGCAGACATATGAAACTATACAGGCCGGACCACCGTAGTAGTAACATAGGCAGAACCGGACGAATTAGAGCCGTTGCACACACGCCGGAACCGGATAGGCGGCGCCGTCTACCCGGTGATGAGGTGCATAGCCTCTTATGGGAGCTTTCACACGTGCCGGTGCCGGCCAAGAATCGGATTCATGCCGGTTTGGCACCGGACACCACCACTGGCAGCACGGTCGCCGGCCGGTGACCAGCAGTGAAAAGCAGGCGAAAAAATGCGATAAAATAAAAATAGGTATATATGTGATATGAATGTTTCAGGATTTGTATTTATTCGTGTTTTAATAGCCTAAGCTAATACATAGATTCTCGCGACAGTTCTCGTGTAAAATTTATTTTTTAAGTAAAATAATGGATGTTTACGAAGTTCGTGAGAAAATTCAAATTGTAAAATGGTATTTCCAAAATAGGTCTTATCGGATTATCGGATAAGTCAAACAATTATTCCACAAACTTTTGTAAATTCTATCTTTACCTACTGTATCAAGAGTTATTAATAATTTTGAAACACATGGGTGCGTTTTCCCACAAAAACACAAAAAGCCTGATATGTTGGTTAATGAAGAACAGGAGTTAAAGCAAGTGTTCATTTGTGCCACCGAGGACCAAAATCCCACGTTTTCAAATAATCAAATTGCTGAGGTGGTTGTCCTGCCCACAATGCCCGTATTGTTCAAGAATATTTGAACAATACTTTTCCCAACCATTTAATTAGTGGACATGGAACTATTTTGGGGCCCGCTAGATCACCGGATCTTTCTCCCAAGGATTTATTTTTGTGGGGTTATGTAATATCCAAAGTGTATGGTCATAATAGGGCTAATAATCTGGATGAGCTTCAAGTAAAAATACGAGAGGCTTTCCAAACTATTAGTCCTAATATGTTAGCCAATGTCAGACGGGGATTTTACGACCGCCTAGGCTTCTGTCTAGCACAAGAAGATGGTCTTTTTGGACACTTGTCATAACTTTTTTTTATTTAGAGTAATATTTTAGTTTTTTTTGGGTTAAGAGAATTTATTTATTTTTAGTTTTGGCTTGTAAACACACTCAAATAATAAATATTGAAGTATTTTCATTTTAAATGTTACCTTAAGTGAAGGTAAACACTTAAAATGAAAATAATAAATACTCGGCACTCCTCGCGTCGTATTCCTAGTCTGTCACGACCGACCCGTCCAGGCACAACTGCAACTGCAACTGCGTACTGCCTGGCCAGCCGACTAGCCGGCAGTGAATCTCGAGTACAAACGCAAAACGGGTAAACGTAAATTCGTCCGGCAACTTGCTATGTTACTAGTAGCCTGGTCTTCTCTGTATAAAAACTGCCTACAAGATCATCTTCCGTTTTCCTCTGAAGGCTGGTGAAATTGAGGTTCAATACATACAATAAAATTATGACAAATATAATTTGCCTTTATCGATTTGACAACAAAACCTAAAATCAATTATTATTGACTTTTAACACACCAGAAGAGCAAAGCGGTTAGAGCCAATTGGCAAATTTTGGTACACTTTGCTCCACTCTCCTCTACTAATATCGGTTTTTGTTTAAAATCCTGGTATTTCCTTAGTTTAATAATAATAAAAGGAAGGTGGTCTTACACGAGAAACTGAAGAACTACACAAGATCAGGTCATAGCGACACGAAATTATGTTAAGTATATTTTGAAGCAAGCTATCCCTTCAGATCTTTGTCGTATTGGTATGTAACAACAATCCAGAAACCATCCAACATATTTCCAGCGGTTGTAGTGCAATTGCGCATAAACAATACCTGGACAGACATATCAAGGTCGCTAAGATTATCCATAATGCAATGTGCTTCGACAACGATTTAGTAAATTCATCAACACCGTACTATAAATACCGACCAAGCTAGGGTTACCAGATGAAAACTTGTCCACCCCGGGCAAGCCTTTCCAAACATCCCGATAAAATCCGGACGTCATAATTTTTTAGCAATATAAGAGCAAAAATAGTAGTACGAGAGCTAGCAACGTCGGAAAAAACAAGTAGACGTCTGGCTCTTTGATATATCTTCTACTATGCTCTCTAGAACAACATGCGGCCCCCAAATTTATTAAAACTAATATATTATTTTCCATTATTGTGACATTTCTTAATGGAACATTACAATCCGGACGCTTACAAAAAATCCGCCCGGACTCAACCAGACGGAGTGAAAATCCGGACGTCTGGTAACCCTAAACCAAGCCCATGCCTGGAAAATGACAATATAAAAATTTATTGGGACACAATGATCATAACTGATAGGGAACCAGACATAACAGACAATTGATAAAAATAATAAAACTGCATTTGTTATAGATATAGCCATACCGTTGGACAATAACACTAGAAGTGTGTATGTGGAGAAAGTAACAAAATATCAAGATAGTTGTTATGAACTTAGGGCTATATACGGACTGAAAAATATAGAGGTTGTTCCTTCATTATCTTAACCAATGGACTAATAGAGAAACATCTGTGCCAAAATCCTGCAAAAATAGGTTAAAATAAATCTTAACAGGGATTATGCAAAAGGCAACCATTTTAGGTCCATGTCATATTGTCCGTCGATATTTGTCGCAGTAGTTGTAGATCTTGAACTTGTGAAGTTCCGATCTCTGCTTCAAGAACATCTTGCGTTGCGTTGGCCAAAGAAAATAGAGCATATTCGCATATACAGAGTGTTTCAAAAAACATTCGCCATCTCTCTTCGGGAGATTCCTCACGTAAAAATAAGATTTATTTTTCATACCAACATAGGTCCGATTCTGCTTTGTTTCGTAAGTACAGGGTGTTAAAATCTTAATATTTCTTCGATTTATTATAATTTTCTTCCTGTTAGAGTATCGAATGAAATTTTCAGGGCAACAGTTACTATAAATGCGACATATTTTAAAGCTAAAAAAGTGTCGACATATTCACCAGGGACGTGCATATGGGTTGTCACTGGAATAATTTTCTAAAAAAAAGCATGTATGCCACTGATCTTTTTTCTCATGTTAGCGAAATAGTGTAAGCAGTTTAATGCCGATTAAAAGTTGTCTCTTGATATTTTGTCAATTTTGGTCTCCTTGATGAGATAAACGCAATTTTATTAATTTGCCTTGATCCAAGTCTAATAGCAACCTTTAAAAAATTTTAGTATCATTAACTTGTGAAAGTTTTAAATAAGTACTCATGGATTCCTCATCAAAAAATATAAAAAATATATATTATTGGATCGACAACAATAAAAATTAAATATAAAAAAAGTTCCTATAAACATGGGTATGGATTCAGAGATACAGGGTGTAGAAATTTCATTTCTATTTCGATTTTTTTCAAATAATTTCTGAAGTAACGTCAATATTTGGATGAAAATTGGTGAATTTTGGATGAAAATTGGTAGTTTTTTGACATAAGAAATTTTGATGTCAATATGATTCCTACTAATAGAGGGCGCCACCTACACGTGTTTTAACTGTTTTGAAGCGTAATAACTTTTTGTCCGTACCTGTATAAAACTACCGAGGAAAGAAATATATATCTTTGTGACTTTTCACGCAAAAAATGTCTCTTTGTAAAAATCGCTACGAGCAACCGTTCTCGAGATATTTAGAATGGAAATAGTCAATACATGCCATTATTGACGAAAAATAAACACGTTGAGTAGATAGTTATTTCAGTGAAATAATAAATTTAGGAATTTTTTTTTAATTAATGATAATTTTTTCTGCAAAAATGACGATAAAACAGAAATTTTCTATTGAACTTTTGGCACAAAAAAAAATAAATTTATGATTTCAGTCTAATAACTATTTAGTCAACATGTTTAATTTATACCAATGATGGCAGGTATTTATAATTTCGATTCCAAATATCTTGAAAACTATTACTCATACCGATTTTTACCAAGAGACCTTTTTACGTAAAAAACGTCGTAAATGTATATTCTTTTACTCAGTAGTTTTATACAGGTACGGACGAAAAGTTGTTCCTCTTCAAACCAGTTAAAAATATGTAGGTGGCGCCCTCTACTAGTAGGAGTCATATTGACATCAAAATCAAATTTTTCATGTCAAAAAACTCCCACACGCCAATTTTCATCCAAATATTGACGTTACTTGAGAAATTATTTTGGAAAAAATATAAATAAAAAGGAAACTACTACACCCTGTATCTCCGAAACCAAGCATTTTAGGACATACATTTATACGAACTTTTTTACTTATTCTTATCTGCAGAATATGCTGTCGAAGTTTCCGGAATACAGTTCGGACTGCCCTGTATATTACACTGGTCTGCAAAAAATACATATTTATCGAACCCAGCTGATTCTTCTGACTAAGGGCATTTTTAATTTCATTCTGTAATATTAAACTTGCCAAAACTGATTTCAAATTCTGTACAAATCCTAAAACCCATGCTAGTTAGAACCTAGACTATCACCCTTACATTGCAGAACATATAGTAACATGTCTAACAAAAACATCAATGAGCAATAAAATAATTTCTAACAAAACAAAATTTGTTTAAAACTTAGTTATTATACTGATATACCGTAGGATCAAAAAAAAGTTATAATTTTACATATTAAATGACAGCGATCTTCATAATCATAATAATATCATAAAAGAACATCAGTTCAAATATCTTACTTTCAATATACATATCAAGTTACTATAACTGCTTACTATACACTGCAATAATTACATTGTCCATCCAATAGCAACATCACCACGTTCAGCTGCTGTGTCCCCTAAACGTGCACAATACCATTGTGCAGTACTGAATTTGCTATGATACAGTGATTATTTCTCATTGCTATAGAGGTGGTAATTTGAATCCAGGTAACAAAGACATTTATACAATGACAAATCAAATGCAGCACATTCGAAAATGATTCAATTTCAGCAACAATTCTTCCAAATACAAAAGGTCTGTAAATTAAATCCAATGTAGTATTACAACTTAATGGTAAATAAATATACTTACAATAGAAAATCACTTCAGCAGAACTTCCATGTATATTATTCCATAATATCGAAATTTGAATTCAATACTATACTGATGAAAGGTATTTCCTCAAGTTGATCACAGTTGTCTCACACAACACCCCATTGAGTATGTTGAATCCGAGGGGCGTCTCACTGTTGGAATTATATGGACACTTTCATGGCAATCGTTGGTATCAGTCTTACAGCAGTTGACTATAAATTGTATGGTAGACATAGGCAGTCTTCTTCGCAGTCGCTTGGCAGGAAAATGATATTTTGGCAGTACATAAACATTTCTTACCCAATTGAGACACCCCTTGATCTGTGCCTTGGTTGAATCCCGTTATTAGGGCGGTACCGATTGAAAACACTGCATATACAATTTAGCATTAATAACTTTTTCAGTGATGCTGAATGGTACTAGCACCAGCATAAAACAATAAATGTTTAGGTACATATTGCTATTTCCTAGCTTTTCTAATATTTTTAATGTTTTTCTGTAACCTTACTATAACGTGACTACCAGGCGGATGAAACCTGAAACCACAAAACACATACACAAGGAGAAGTGCGAGCCATAAAATAATAAATACAAGAAGAAGTGTCAAGTCAATGTTAAATTATGGAAACAGCGTGGCTGCCTGGGTAACTAATTTTCAAATATGGCGGCTGGGACATTTGACATGACTATGACATGACATAGACATGACAATTTCAATTTTATGAAATTTATTTCCGTTTCCGGTTTTTAATGGCGGGCTGTTCGGGAGGTTTAAATGAGGGTTAATATACTTTTTACTCTTTCTAGTAGTAAATAATACAACAAAATTACTCAAAAATATTTATTTGGAATCACTGACTTACTGTTTAAAGTTAATAAACATATTTTTATTACTTAAATATAATTTAATGTATTAAAAATATTTTATTAACTTTACACAACAAATCAATATTATTAAAGGCTTATTATTTTCAGAGAAAATTCATAGTAAATAAATTACACATTAGTAAACAATATCATTTATTTTTAGAGCTGCGATTTATATACAATAATATTGAAATATATATATATATATATATATATATATATATATATATATATATATATATATATATATATATATATATATATATATATATATATATATATATATATATATATATATATATATATATATATATATATATTATATATATATATATATATATATATATATAAAAGACATTTTAGTAGTATGTTATCATCTATTTACTGATAATACATAAGTATTTAATAGGTAAATAACATGCATAAGGCACTATGATACAACTACCTGTATCATGATAACACACTAATATCACAAAAAAATATATGCTAATTTAAATTCCTTTAATGATCTAATGAAACACTATCTAGCCTCAATGCATGCCATTCCAAAGGTAAAAAAAAAAAACTGTTATACCAAATAAATATAAGCTGAATAAAACATAAACCAAGCCAACGTGCATAAACAACCAAAAAATGCATCAAAAATACTTTTATCAGATCATACCCTTGGATATATTATGTATTTTATATATCGCACATCCTGTTCAAAAAGTTTACTAACTCAAAATAGAGAATATAGAGAACATTGTCAGGAGAAGTAAAAGAAAATTTAAGTTAAGGCAATATACTCCTTTTTGCATATTAATGGCCAAATAATATAATGTTGATTTAATAAAATTTTACTGGCATCCTTCTGAGGTATAAATCAGATTAAAAGGACATTGTTTTTGTAATATTTTTTTTAAACATTTTTTGAAGACAATACAGTTTTGAACGGGCTGTGCGATATAAACAAGGATCTTACTATTATTTGAGGTTAGAAAGTATTTAAATAATATAAAACATAATCAAAATCATTTTTCATCATAAATTATAGAGGTACCTACGTGTTTTTATATTATTATCAGGAAATAATACGTTTAGTTAAACAGGTACGCTGCCAGGCAAGTTCTATCGGCGGGTCTTTGCAAAAGTTGAAATCTAAAAATACAAAAATACGTTTACATCTTAGTTGTATTTACGAATAAAGTATTTGTGTGTAATTTCTGACTTACCAGTTAACTGAATAATCGCATTAAATACATCCAAATGGTAATTTAATATTGTAAAAAAGCAAAATTGTTTTAAATCACTTGCCAGGACAGCCCCGGTCAACTTCTTTGTTGGCAAAATGGCCGCGGTATCATGATTTAAACAATGTGAGTGACAAAGAAAGCCAATGCCTGGCAGATGTTGCTTTCTTTGTCGTTGATCCTGGCACGTTTAAATTTGACTGTTGCCTGTTTTCCCATACAAGTGACATCCCCGTGTACAGAAGCGACAAAGAGATTTGCTTCAAAATTTTTAGGAGGGGGTAATGCTGGTTAACTGTCAAACGTGACGTCAAAGAATTATACACCAAAAAAAAAATTCACGACCGCAGGCTTTGCCGCAGGTATAATTATTTCTGGTAATGGTGTGGATCCGGTGGCTGACCTTGAAACGAGTTTCTGCTGCATATAGACACAGACACTACGCATGCGCACATCTTCGATGATGCCAGATTGTAAGTTATTTTGGAATTATTTTCAGTAGAAAACAAATATGTGCTTTTCAGTGTTTTTATTCAATATATACCGTATGATCGAAAAAACGGCATCCAGTTGGCTGGGGAATGACGATTGAGGACATTTCCCATATAAAATGACAGCGATCTTCATTTCACTTAGTCATCGGCTAACGCTATTTTTTTTTTCAATCATAGTACGCGGTATATTATTTATATCAAGATTTATATTATTATTTTAATATTTCGCACAACACGTGAACGCTTATTAGGTATTTTCATAGTCAATAAATTAAATAGAAATAAACTCTAGATTCCTATAATTAATCTAATTGCTCTAGATTATTATGCTACGTTTAAAAAAGGGCTTTATTAAAAATTCTGGAAATTATATGTCCAAGTTTTCCTTTTTTTTAAATTTTTAAATGCTGTAGCTCATGTCATGTTCATAATAGGTTTTTTTAACATTCCATTAAAACTACGGAGGCCTTAAAAGGCCTTTTAGCCTCCGTAATTAAAATTGTAGAATCAGCTTCAGCAACATTAACAGTTTTACCTTGTGTAATTCTGCTTATACATATATTGCATTAATTTTTCTGCTACTTTAAGATTTCTCTATTCTTACACCTAATTTATGTGATTTTCTTAGCTATAATATGATTTATAAACCATATTTTTCCTAATGGAAGGATGGAATAGGATATGCAAAATTAAGATATTTTAACATTTATTTTCCAGACAAAGCATAAGATTAAGACATAATAAATATTATAAGAAAGATCTTAATATAAATCACAAACTAAGTCTTAATTTGGTCTTGTATAAACACAGGTATAAAACTAATAAGATCAAAACTCAACCTTCACCATATTGTCAAGATTTGGCATTATAGGAAACAAAGAATTGCAGTAAATTAAGAAAAGAATATCAAAGTACACGATATTAAATACTGTAATGTATTCTACGATACAAACCATCTCCCTTCTAAAGAGAAAAAGATAAAACATAAAGCTTATTAAAATAGTCTTATCAACACTCTTCGATAAAATATGTATATGTCTAAAATTGCTATTAATCCACTAACTTGATATTTTTAAGAAATTATATGATACAAACATTACAATCAAAGTACAGTAATACCCCGGACTTACGCGATAGGTGGGACTGAGCGCTATCCGCGTAAGTCGAATTCGCGTAAGTCGGGGTACAATTTTGCATATAAAGACATACAAAGTATGTTTAATTGGGACTGGAGACTAAATAAAACAATAATTTAGGAAATAATTAGTATCTAATTCTAAATAATATGACAATACAATATACAAACTATATTAATAGAGTGTATAAACACAATCCGAAGTTATTTTGATGTAGAAGGTTTCATAAATTGTAACAAAGTCGTCTGACGAGTCAATGATTTTTTCTTCTCCCGTAATATCTCCTCGTAGCATCCTAGTAATTTTTTTATTCCATGTTTTGTAACAAAACTGCGCTCTTCATTGGAGTCTATGCTTTCCAAAATTGTTAACCCTTTTTCAATCGAACTGAGGGCTTCTGTCAAGTTTCCAACTGTCATTTGATCTTCTAATTGAACTGGATCCAAAGAATCATGATTATCAATTTCTTCCTCTTGTTCACGCATTGTTATGAGCTCATCAATTGTAAGCTCCTCATTGTGTGAATCCAACAGCTCTTGAACATCATCACTATCCACTTCTAAATTTATTTGTCTACCAAGTTCGACAACGTCTTTGATCACATTGCAAATTTCATCAGGCCCTGACACTAATTCCGCCTGAGTCATAGTGGAGAAAAAAAATGGACAGAGTTTTTTCCAGACGCCATTTAAAGTTTTTTGTGAAATTTCATTCCAAGATTCTCCAATGATTCTCACTGCTTCTAAAACGTTGAATTGTTTCCAAAATTCTTTAACAGAGAGCTCGTTGTTTTGTCTCATAGCTTCATGCAGATGTGCAAACGATCGTCTCGTGTAATAAGCTTTGAATGTTTTGATAACGCCCTGGTCCATCGGTTGAAGCAAGCTGGTTGTATTTGGTGGCAAAAATTCAACTTTCACACGTGGGTCGAAACTAGTTAAAGTAGCAGGAGGATGACCTGGCGCGTTGTCGATTAATAGCATCACTTTAAACGGGATTTGTTTAGACTGGCAATAACGTTCGACTTCAGGTATGAAGTGATGACCAAACCAGTCTTCAAAAAGGGAGGCCGTCACCCAAGCTTTACGATTCGACTTCCAAATCACGGGCAAACCAGCTTTAGATTTGTTTTTCAATGCTCTTGGATTTTCCGAGCGATAAACTAAGAGAGGTTTTAATTTAAAGTCACCAGCTGCATTCGCGCCAAGCATCACTGTCAATCGATCTTTGGCGGCCTTAAAACCTGGAAAAGTTTTCTCTTCACGCGCAATAAAAGTTCTTTTAGGCATCTTCTTCCAAAATAGGCCAGTTTCATCTACGTTGAATATGGTTTGGCTGGTATAGCCACCTTCATTTATCATAGCTTTGAGTTTCTCTGGATAGAGAGATGCTGCCTCTTTATCTGCACTTGCCGCCTCTCCACTTTCTGCAATGCTATGCCAGTTACAGCGACTTTTGAACCGGCTGAACCAACCGTTACTGGCTTTAAACGTTTCATCTTTAGCCATCTCCCCAGCTTCTTCTTTTAATTTCTCAAAAATTTGTTTAGCTTGAAAGCACACCGTGTTCTGATCAATAGGACAATTTTTCACACTTACTTGATTATCACACCATAATTTTAACAATGTTTCCATTTCAGCGATAATACCATGCCGTTTACGAATGATGCTTGAATTCAAAGACTGAGCATTTTTCACAGCTTCGAGAATTTTTTCTTTACTTTTCGTAATTGATCTGACTGTCGATTCCGGAAGTTCATACTTCTTCGCTAAATCACAAATTTTTATTTTTGCATCGTAGTCTTTAATAATGTTAAGTTTA